ACAATATGCTTGCAAAAGGGCAGAGAAATTAATTAGGCCTACATGCATGTATTTTCAATGAACTACATTATATAATTACTGGGTTTATTTTTCCTTCATAAAAATGTAAGCAAAAAAGTAACGTCAAATTAATTTTCTAGAACTTCACGTAAAATAACGTCATTTTGACGTTACCGAAAATGACACCAACACCATGCGCAACGTCATAGCGAAACAAAAAACCCTTAGTGCTAATTAACCCCTTTTAAGATCAGTCTTTGGATATTCCAGCAAAGTACTTTAACCGAGACAATGACAATGACAAGACTTAGGACATACTGTATTATATTATTGGAATAAATCATTATTTATTCAAAAAGAGAAATATTTTAAAATAACTTTCTTCTTATTTCAAATTTTTTTAAACATTATAAATTCTCCACTGCATTCAACAGGCATACATCCTGTATGAGCCCTTAGCAAGCACATGAAAACCTTGATATCGTAACATTTAAAATTCAAGTTAGAAACAAGACAGGCGATTGTTCATAATTTGGCGTATAATCGATTTGCACTTGACACTTGTCTCGTGTGTACACGAAGTTTGAAATTAAGGAGCAAATATTTTTTAAAAAGAAACTTTACTTGTATAGCAAATAAAAGATAATTGGATAAAAGGCCTTGATTTTAAACCAAAGTATCAAATTTCTAACTCGCTTTGAATCATAAATTAAGGTTTTTTGTACGTAAAACTTTGTGAAATATTTCTGAACTTATGCATCTTATAAAAATTGCATGTATCCAATTTACATCATTTATAAACGCATGATCTTTAATGAAGAATATAATCTACATTTGCAAAAAAAAAAATAAATAAATAATTTAATTAGAGTAAAGTAAATCATACATGTACTTATCATTTCAAAATGCATAAGCTATATGTGTGCAGTGGGAAAATATCCACAATTTTACCTTAAATTTTGCGATTGTTCAAGTTGAATATAATACAAACTTGTGCTTATCTCTTTAAAGAAAAAAAAATTGTAATAAAGAATCAAAATAAAACGAAAAAATTAAAGAAAAAATTAAAGCCAAAACAAATAATACCAGTAATTTGTCTCAATTTAAGTCGACTTGATATCTGAGGCTGACCATAAATTGAAATAAACAATGAAAGTGGATATAATTTGTAAATGAAATAATTTGCATATAAAAGGAATAAAACAAACATTTTCTGTAGTTTTATGGGTAAACAATTGCACTTTAAGAGAATAAAACATTCATGCGTAATTAACCATAAACGTTTTATGTCAACGCACTTTGAAAAAATGTGTTTGCGTTAAATCTGGGACAACATCAACGGAGTTAGGCTTTTTGATTTTTTTCAAAGTTCGTTAGAGTGTACGTTAAGCCTAAGACTCACCGTTTGTCATACATTTTATCTATTATTTGATATTCATCGTCCATATAGATTAACATCAAAATATGAAACAAATACGTGGTATTTTAAATTTCAACTTTACCTGAAATATATAGTGTGGAATATAGAAGTATTTATAGGTAATTGACAAAGTAATGGCAATGTATCTAAATGCCAAGATCAAGACAACACTATGACTTTCCTTATTCTCATGTTAAAGTGTATGAATAGATGTTTCATTATAGGAATTAAAACAGGTCGATTAACTACGGATGCTTAAAGGGCTCTTCAACGTGTGTGTTATAAGTTTCTATATGCTCTTATTTTTCATCGATCGGCTTATCAACATATAATGTGCAATAATTCCTTATTTATGCACATATTTTGATTGTATTATCAATAAGATATTTTTACATCATTAAAGGCAACTTCTTTTGAGCAATAGATTTTATTGAACTGAAATATATAGTTTTCAGATTTCGATCGAAGCAATATCAAATCATATCAATATAGAATTGTCGATATGAAAAAAAAATAAATGGTCATATCGATAAAACTACACAAATATTTGCGAAAAAGAAGGAAGAAAATATTGTCTTTGAATTAACTTCGCGGGGACAGGAATTCTAGTGAATCTTCACTTCACCTGGGATTTAGTGAAAGCTTACGCTCCATGCTATCTTGTACGATTATACGCTGAAACAAATTTTTAAAAAAATTTTTGAAAAGGAGAGAAGGAGAAACATCAACAGTTAGATTTATAAAGGGTATTGTATCAATAATCACTTTTGAAAAGGGTATCTTTGTGGTCCTCATCCAGATTTAAAAAAAAAAACAAAAAAAACAAAAAAACTGAGTTCATGTGAGATTCACTAATTTATCCATCCAAAAAGATTTTTCGCAGTTGGATATCAAATCTCTGGGGGTTTTCCTTGTTTATATATTTAATTTGGTTTACGCTATACTTTCCTCCTTTTATCTTTAGAGATTGGCTCAAATCACAAATTCTTTGATATTATTTTAAGCGGTAAGAAGTTAGATCTGGTGTACTGATAGTTATTTATCATTCTGATAAATTCTATTATGGCTCACTGTTCATATTTTTGAATTTGTTTGGGGGGGGGGGGTCAAGACCGTGGAGGTTCGCAATCAAGTATCAGATTCTGTGTAACTACAGAGTGGAAGAACATCAATCATTAACAAAGTACATTATTTGTGTCACCTTTAAAATACTGTAACTATCTATTTTTGCTTCATAAGCAATTTACATTTCCCCTACTGACTCAAAAAATATATTAAGCAGTGAACCATGATAGAATACTAGTACATGTATATCAGATCCCCCTTTAAAAGTGGTGATGTGTACAATAACCCCCTATGACAATATTTACAATCAAACTGTTGATGCTCTTCATTTTCCTTTTTCAATTTTTTTAAAAAAATTGTTTCAGTCTATAATCGTACACAATAGCAAATACTTGATACTAAAGCTTTCAGGGAATCCCGAGTGAAGTGAAGATTCACAAGAATCCCCGCCCCCACGAAATTAATTGAAAAACACTTTCTTTCTGACTATATCTCGCAAATAATCATAAATTTATATCGATATAATTATATATTTTTTATATCGACTACTATTTTGATATGATTAATGCCTTGTTTCGATCGATATCTGAAAATCAATATATTTCAGTCGATACAACTTAAAGCTATAAAATTTATTGCACAAAAGAAGTTGCCTTTAATTATGTAAAAACATCTAAAGGGGTCCCGACCCTCTATTATAGATTTCATTAAGAAAATTTAAAATTTCTAGTATTGATTTTCATAAACAACTTACAATAACTTTAGAGCCACATGGAAAATATTTTGAAGTATGAAGCGTTGCTCTTTTTTTCAGAAATGATTTTTATGTCAGATCATGGTTTAAGGAGATTTTAACACAGAGAGCAAAAAGAGTAACGATTTATTAATATCACAACATAAAAAATAAGGTATACATGTATTTGAAAATAATACTTAGCATCATACATATTAAAATCATTTCAGAAAACATTAAACGTTGCTTCCTAAGTCAGAATTTCATTATGTTGTACGTAATTGTAAGAAAAAATACATTTATCTTCCAAAAATTTCCTTATTTAAAAGATGTAATACTAATAAGAATTCTGTATTTAGAAATTGAAGCATTAAACATTTTTAAAATAGTCCTAAAAAGATACTACAATTTTTCGATTTATAAGGCTTTTGAAATGGGATATTTAAATGCTTTTTTGATAAATTTTTTTTAAAAAGTGATGAAATTGGTAAAAGAAATGGGTTATGTTTCCATCGTCAATTAGATTTCAGCGAATGACTACTCAGAGGTCTCAATTTGGAAACTCTGATAAAGAAAACTATGAATAGTATTCAAATTTGGTACTCTGAAAATTATCTCTCTTATCAGAGGATCGATACTTTCAATACCCCTTAATACAATTCAGATATGTGTACAAATAAGGAGTTACCACACTTTATATGTTAATAAGACGATAAAATATAAGACCATATACAAAGTTAAAGACTATATACAAAGTTTTATCACAACATGTATGGAGCCCTTTACGCTTCCGTAGATAATCCTTCATTATCAGAAAAAAAAATGCATGCATTGTCATGTATGAATTCAATTACAGTTTAACATCAACTTCACGGTACTTGTGTGAGGACTAAGCATGCATAGTTTAAAGAATGTAAACAATGTAATTTAGCTGAATGATCCAAAGATACAGTATTAGAAGATACAAATTCCATTTAATTTAGAAAGGACTTTTCTTTGAAATATAAAAAAAAAACACTTTTGAAATAATATCGTCTGAAAATGTTGATGAAAGCGTAGAAAAGATTAGCATAAAAGGTTTTAATGCTTTAGAAGTTTAAATGTTTTTTTAGATTATAATTTGTTTATGGGGTTAAGAGTTTTCTTTTAGAATTCACTTTTCTAATTCGCAGACTACCTGTTGAATATAAAGCACAACATGCTTCATGTCCTCTCCTTCACAGCACGTTACAATGTATTACTTTGATGACGAGGAAGGACGAGGACCTTCGCTGAACATTAATATGGCCTGAAAACATTTACAGTACCTTTGCCTGGTATGATTTAATGAAGTTTAGAATCAAGAAAACATACTTCAATTCAGTGGAATGTATTAAAACCGAAAGATTTTGATTTCATCTTAATATTTATTTATTTTATATGAACATTTGTTATAACTCGTTATAAAAATGATTTATATAGTTATGTATTCTTGAAAATTTGCATTACGGCTGATATAAATGTGGATTAATTACTTCAATATTTCGCATGTAGCTTTGATCTTTTTAAAGTATTTTTTTAAAGATAGTATTTTTCAAAATTGAAGAAAAAAATAATTATTCAATTCCTCTATGATTGAAAACTTATTCTGAATACAAATAAATAATACACATATACCTATGCCTACGCAAAAAGAAGCTATAACCATTGAAATCCCTAGATACGTGTACATTTTGATTAAAAGCCCAACGTAAAAATTAAACCGAAAGTAGTTCAAGTTTTATCCGGTACGATTATCTACCTTTGATAGGTAAAAATGGAGCCGTCCTCGGCTTTTGAATTTTAGTTGATATTACATGATCTAAAATTTCAAGGATTCCGACAGTAGTATGAGACTAAGACTTATTTATTTCCTAGTGAAGAAAACCTCTACAATGTCTTTAAGTCATGGTAAGTTTCCTTTTAACGTCAAATATTAACTAAATTACAATCTGAGTACTTTCGGTTTGATTACTGCACAAGTTATGAATTAGATCTAGAAATATAAAGTGAACTGTGCATTTTGATACATTATTTGAGCAAGCAATATGTTTATTAATACACTTCTATTCTGTTTTATTTTAGGCTTCTAATACTCCAACTATCAAATCAAAGACCAAAAGACTTTATGTAGCTGCCATTGATTTTGGAACAACTTATTCTGGATATGCATTTTCCCCAAAAGCAACATGGCAAGCTGTAATAGTTTATAACAAATGGAACTCTGGTAAATTTGAATCCCACAAAACTCCAACTGCCCTTTTACTGAATCCTGACAAGTCTTTCCATTCGTTTGGGTACGAGGCTGAGTCAAACTATGCAGCATTGGCAGAAGTGGATTCAGATGACGACGACGAAGAAGAGAAAAGCAAGCCAGACTGTAGTCGATATTATTTTTTTCACCGATTTAAGATGATTCTTCATGAAAACCATGTAAGTCGTTGTTCCATTGTTTTTATTTACGATGACAAAACAAGGTTTGGAAAGTAACTATCGATTTCTTGTCCTTGTATTATATCTTTGCAGAGGTTGAGCAGAAATAGTATAATAAATGATGAGACAGGGAAGCCGTTAGAAGCGATGACAGTGTTTACACTGTCTATCAAGCACTTACTGGATGAGTTAATGAAAACCCTTAACACTCAAATGGCGAACTCAGTCTTTATGAAGGATGTTGATTTTGTACTCACTGTACCAGCCATATGGGGAGATGCATCCAAAATGTTTATGAGAGAGGCAGCAAGTAATGTATGAAAATAATTCATCATTATATTCATTATATGTAAAGAAAGTCTGATGTGCTTAATTATGATTTAAGGGCAATATCTAGATAGTTTTCGATAAGTCTGAATTTAGCAAGAGTAACTTCTCGTTGGCTACCATTTTGATATTGGAGGTTGACTTGGTGATTTTCTTCTTTGTTTTATCAAATTTAAACGGATGTAGCAGAAATATGTCCGGGAAAATCTTTATAAAATGTTTTTTTTAAATGATTGAGGCTTTAAGAAATTAAATTACTTCAAAAAACAAAGGTTGGGACTTCCTACCCAGGATTGCAAATATAGAAAGTTGAAGTTGGCTGAACAATGAAGTATTTACACATCAAATATGCCAGTCAACTGGAAATAACTTTATCAATTATGGTCTTTCAAAATCTATGAAATATATGGAAATAACGAATAGTATTCAACCCCATAAGTCCATAAAACAATACAAAATAGAAGCAGAGCACACACAAACCTCCAAACGACAGAGAGGGGATCAGGTGCCATGGAAGAATGATTATCCCCTGCCGACAGGTCAACCTGCCATGTGCTTTTTGTCATGATCGGGAAATAACAGACAAATCTAGTAACAAACTAACAATTGGTATGAAAAATGTCGGTCAGCATTTGACTCAATTGCAAATTGCGTTTTCTGACAAGGTCCTTGTATCGACCATAGAACTTACGAAATCATGCCTTTAAACGAGACTGCTGACGTTTTTGTTTCATCGACATCAAATATTTTCCTCGTTTAAAAATTTACATACGTAGAGTATGCTCTTGCAAATCGAATCAATAAAGAGATATAAACTCCGTATGCAGGTGTTGAAGATGTATAGCTGCATAAGTAAGGGAAGTTGACGATTGAGTAGTTAAAGTAATCCCGTTTATCTTAGAGCTTTATTGTTAGATAACCATTAATGCCTTTATCTTTTCTCAGATTAAAAAAAATTTTCGTCCCACTACTAGATATATGTAATTTCATCCATCATGCATATAGAGTATTACTATTTTAGGCAAAATATTGCACAGCCTGTCCCCAACACCATAATTCTAAAAAAAATTACATTAAGATAAAAAAATAAACTTTTAAAAGATCAGCTTTTCAGGTAAAAAAAAAATTTGTTCGTTTCTTTAGGCAGGAATACCGACAGATCAACTGACAATTGCTCTGGAACCCGAAGCCGCATCGATATATTGTCAGTATTTGCATTTTGAGAAAGACGATAAAGATCGCACTGATGAATTTCTGAAAGATGTTTCAACAAACACGAAGTATATGGTTTTGGATTTAGGGGGTAAGTTTAAATAGATATACAAGATAGATATAAAAACAAATTTTAAATCTAAAAAAAGTTTATTCTTTAGAAAAAATATTTGAAGCTCAGGGGTTTATCCTCGTCATAACCTAAATTCTTCGGCACTTATAACTTTGAACAGTAAGAAAACAATCGAAGGTTATGATAAACAATCTATCAAAAAATTGTTCTTCCTTTTCCGACAAGTAACTGATAATGGTCCAAAGTTTTGAAACCTCAGGGACGGCCTTTTTTAGTTCACCTGAGTCACTCAGGTGACCTATTGCTATCTGTTTTTGTCCGTCGTCGTTCGTCGTACGTCGTTCGTCGTCAATCGGTCGTAAACTTTTGAACATTTTCAGCTTCTTCTCTGCAACCACTGAACCAATTTCAATCAAATTTGCCACAAAGCATCTATGGGTGAGGGGGAACAAAAATTGTGAATTTCATGATCCCTGCCCCCCTGGGGCCTGGGGGGTGGGGCCAAAACCACTAAAATTAATGCAATCTTTAAAAATCTTCTTCTTTACTCCTGGACATCAAGCAGTCAAACTGTTTGCATGATTGTAATAAGCATTGAGTCCTCTACTAAAATTGTGAAATTCATGGCCCTGCGATCAGGGGTTCTTGTGCTAGGGCGGGGCTAAATAAGTATATAGTGAAAAAGCATTATTTCTTTGAAAATCTTCTTCTCTGCTCCTGGGTATTAAATAAACTAACTAAGTACATAGTTATGATGAGCAAGAGTGCCTCTACCAAAATTGTGAATTTTATGGCCCCAGGGTCAGGGTTTCTGGTGTTAGGGCGGGGCTCTATTGAGTATATAGTGAAAAGACATGAATTCTTTGAAAAATCTTCTTCTCTGATCCTATGTTTTAAATAAACTAACTACGAACATAGTTATGATGAGCAAGAGTACCTCTACCAAAATTGTGAATTTTATGGCCCAAGGGTCAGGGGTTCTGGTATTAGGGCGGGGCTCTATTGATTATATAGTGAAAATACATGAATTCTTTGAAAATCTTCTTCTCTGCTCGTAGGTATTAAATAAACTAACTAAGTACATAGTTATGATGAGCAAGAGTGCCTCTACCAAAATTGTGAATTTTATGGCCCCAGGGTCAGGGGTTCTGGTGTTAGGGCGGGGCTGTATTGATTATATAGTGAAAATACATGAATTCTTTGAAAATCTTCTTCTCTGCTCCTAGGTAAATAAATAAACTTAATTAATTAAACTGCATTAATTAAATAAACTAACTAAGAACATAGTTATGATGTGCAAGAGTGCCTCTACCAAAATTATGAATTTTATGGCCCAAGGGTCAGGGGTTCTGGTGTTAGGGTGGGGCTGTATTGATTACACATGTATAGTGAAAAAACATTAAATCTTTGAATTTTTCTTCTTGTGCTGGGTATTAAGCAGACGAACTGCCTATATAGTTATGAGCAAAGGCCCTTATCTTCAAGAATTGTGAATTTCAAGGCCCCAGGGCCAGTAGTACCATAGAGGGGGGGGGGGGAGGGGCTGTACTTATATACTGAAAATGAATGAATCGTTTGAAATGTGCTCCTTGGTATTAATCAAATATTTTTGAAAAGCAAGGATGCCTTTTTAAAAATTGTGCAAGATTCAAGGGTTCATGTGTGGTAGAGTCACTACTGATTATTGCTGAATATTACTGATTTGTTGAAATGCATTTTTTGTTCCCTTACCCTGCCTATGGGTATTAAATAACCAAACTAAGCAACTGCTAAGTGTATAGTTATGATGATCAAAATTGTAAATGCTATTATAATAGCATCTGGCTTAAAACATGGATCAGATTCAATCACTGCAGGAAAGTTGTTGCATAATGCTCAGGTGACCTATAAGGCCCATGGGCCTCTTGTTTTATTTTTCGAATCATTCCATTATTTCCGAATCATGCATATAATTATCTCCTTTTAAAGATCGCAAGGGCTTGGCCATTTGCAAAAGAAGGATATGGAGATAACGAACAGTATTCAATCTCAAACATTACAAAATAAGAGCAGAGCAAACACGGACCCCCGAAACAACAGAGGTAGGATCAGATGCCATGGAGGAGTGAACATCCCCTGCTGTTCACACCCGCCGTGTGCTCCTTGTCATGATCAGGAAATAACGGAAAAGTCCGTCGTCAATTCAGTATATAAATAATGGACTAACAATTAGTATGAAAAACGTCAGTCAGCATTTGACTCAATGATAAATTGTATTTGCTGACAAGGTCATTGCATCGACCATAGAACTTACGAAATGATGACTTTAAACGAGACTGTAAATAATTCCCCTGTCAACCTTTATATTTGTTGTCCTATGTCAGGTGACCGAGACACAAACAACCCTATACATATGGTCAACTGGTCATGGCCACTGCATTTGGAATATAAATTCCTTGTTCATAAGACAATTTATAATAAAATACCTCCCATAGATCATATTTACCCAACAGTGGATTATTAATGAATGAACGATCAAAGTGTTACATAGGAATACACTTGTATAGAGCAAAATCAAAAAAAAAAAATCTTCCCAAGAACTACTGGGCCAGGAAAGATGTAGGGTAAGGGAATTCGAAGGGCCTAAATGGAAGATCAAATATGATTTTACAAAGTAAAAAATAGGATCTTTTTTAAAAAATCTTCTTTCCAGAATGGCAAAGTTATATATTTATGCTATAGTACATTATTGCATGTGCTCGGGTTAGCGATGTGGCCTATGAGCCTGTTGCTAGAATAGTATTTGCCAACTTATTTCTAACAATATTGATTTATTTTGGCCACAGGAGGCACTGTTGATATAACAGTCCACCAGAAATCCTCTGATGGCACCTTACAGGAAATTCTTCCAGCGACGGGTGGACCTCTAGGAGGGACAACTATAGACAAAAAATTTATTTCACTTATTGAGGAAATTGCTGGCAAAGGCATTTGTGAAGAACTTAAACAGGAAAGCATGGAGGATTACATAGATTTTTTTCGACAGTTTGAAATTAAGAAACGGAATGAAGCGACAACAACAAAAGTTCGAGTGACTATACCTCTGTCCCTGGACAGACTTGTTAAGAAAAAGACAAAAGGTGGCATTTCTAAGCTTCTGGAGTCAATGTCCATCAAAACTGATGTGTCATATGATTCAAGCAGTAAAAAGCTTATTCTGTCACCAGAATTTTTCAATAATCTGTTTAAGGATACAACAGAGGGTATTATGCAATATATTGATACAATTTTTAAAAGCAAGAAACTAGATGATGTGAACACAATTATCATGGTCGGAGGATTTTCCGAGTGCAAAATCATTCAAAAAGCCCTCCAATCTAAGTACAAAAATACAAAACGAATTATTATTCCAGATGAAGCTGGACTTGCTGTTGTAAAAGGTGCTGTATATTTTGGACATATACCAGATGTGATTTCTAGACGAGTTTCGCGCTATACTTACGGAATTCAAAGCTGGCCGGAATTCTGTCCAGGAAAAGATCCAGAGGAGAAGAAAATAAAAGTGAATAATTCTTTTCGTTGCAAAGACGTCATGTTTCCAGTAATAAAGCGCGGAGAACAAATTAAAGTAGGTCATAGGAAATCCCAAGTGTTCCAAGCTCTGAAACCAAACCAAACTGAACTTGAATGTGCCATATTTGTATCGGACAATGAAGATCCAAGATTTGTGGACGAAGAAGGTTGCCGACAGCTTGGAATTTTGAAAGTCCCTATTCCCCCAGGAACAAGCTGTGCCGAAATAGAGGAAACAATTATTTTTGGTGAAACAGAAATACAGTTCACAGCAAATCAGCTAGGTTCAGGAAGAATTATGTCAACTTCGTTTGATATGTTAGATCCAAAAAATATACCAGATCCGTGAATGTACAGTCAACGTTTGCCAAGCGGGCGTGGAAGAACATTTAATGAAAACAAGCGAGAAACTGAGACAAATCTTAAATGTAAATTGATCAGGAATATTTTAAAATAATATTTACAATGAATCATTTTGCATTCATGAATGTACACAGTTTTATTCATTTCTGGTAAGTAATACTGAGAAGGATGGGGTCCTATTCAAAAGGAGTATAATGATTGTATTTGCATGAAAATGACGTTGAATAAAATGTTTATTTTTATTGTTGAAGTTTGATTGTTTAAAATTGTTTTTATTCTCTCTGAGCGTTGTGTTAGGCAATTCAAGTACATGTACATTATTATACCAATGAAAGGCAAATGAGTTATGGATGTCTACGTTCGTAAAAATGGATAATAGTGGCATATAATGTAAACCAGATTTGAATTGATCAAATCGAAATTTCTAATTACATCATCTTAAATTTTATAGTATAAGAAATCCATATTTTTAAATTTATTTGTTCGGAAAAGCCAAGCTTAAATATGATTTTGAGTCATCAAGCTTGTCTTCCCTAAAAACAAAATGTACGCTCAAAGATAATTCAGCTCTTGTAACAAACAGTACTGGTATTAAAATATTTTTCATAACATAACCGCCAACATTAAAAATCATTCTTACTCCACATTTCTTTTCGAACTAGTAAACAAAAATAAATTCTTTACTTGGCCCCTATATAAGATTATGTCTTGTATGTAAATTAAGCTATTGTCTATTCTAGTTATCAAATGTTGTGTTGAGTAATTTTCAGATTTAAAAAAAATCCTAACAACCACAAACATCAAAGGTCTTATTAAAATGTAAAATCTTAGTATCAGATCATGTCAAACTACATAAAGCTTATTTCAAACTTGATGCATACTTTTTATGGTTATGAATTAGAATTATCCTCTAAACTTTTAAAACTCTAAACGCAAGAGCTCTGTTACCTACAGTTTTCTTCCTTCCTCGAGCAAATGTAAATTGATATCCCTGTTGAGACAGTTTATCCCAAACAGGCTATTATTATATTCTAATTAGACAGTATCCCAACCTGCTCAACAGACTTGGACCGTTATTATATATATATATATATATATATATATATATATATATATATATATATATATATATATATATATATATATATATATATATATATATAAACAGGGTATGATGATCATACTTATAATAACTAGTATAACAAATGTTTTTTAATATTGTTTATTTTTATCTCAATAAGTGATGTAAAAGATGAACTGGATTCTCAATGTGGTTTTAGTTTAGAAAGACATGTATATAAATTATGTAAATGGCGATGGATAAAAATTAATTAAAAACAAAAGGGCAGGTCAACAAGTCAAACAAGTTTCTTTTCCTGGCAAAGAACTTGAAGATAATCATAATTCATTAAAAAAACACGAATCGTTGCTTTGATGATTTTCTTTTAATCCATATAACACAAATATAAATTATATAAAAGAGTCAATAATATTGTCTTTTTTTATCATGAACAATACTATGATTCACAAAAAAATGATCAGTCGAATATCAATCGAATATAGTTCATGGAAAAACATATTTGAAGAAAAAATATTAGTGAATTTGTTGAAGGCAAGATCAGAGTAATTATTTTCTGATAAATATCATTCAATATATGAGTTAGAATTGGTAATATTTAATATTTACAGCATCTTTAAAATGCCTTTAAAAAAAAAAAGAATAGGTAAAAATATACAACAAAAAATAGTACAAATCGCCACCCAAAGTTCTGATGTTCAATGTTCTTCAAAAGGGCAAAACTTGAAAAAGTACTATAAATTGGTTTCATTTCCAGCACAAAAAAATCTCCTTCAAGACAACTAATTTTGAATCTGAAACAAATGATATAAATTTGAGACAGAACCGATATATATTCAAAGATAACTCTGCAGTTATCCTAAGAAATTGCATGTTGCTCGAGTAATATTTCCAGTTCTTTTTTCACGTGCTTCTATCTCCAATTCAGTTCCACTAAAATTGACACGAACTACCACCGTACCATCTTCTCCCGGTTTTCGTGGTGTTAACTCAATTTCCATTACACCAACTAGGTGACAAGATGGATCGTCGACGTATTTTGGATCCTTTTCAGTTGAGGCATATAGTTCGAGCATAATCAATACTTGTTCATCTTTTAGTGGGTGGTAATCTTTCGGTTCTTGAAATTTCCCGAAACGAAGCATCTCTCCTATTTCTACATGCTTATCAAAAGCATCATCACAGTAAAATCGTTTACCGTGCTTTGTTTTCTTTTCCATTTTATCTTTCCCTTCAATGAATGGTCGTTGATTGGCAAAACCATACGTGTAACGACAAATTCTTGTTTTAATTATAGTTGGATCGAACCCAAATAATAAAGCTCCTCTCAAAACAACAAGAGATGGCTCTTCTGGCACAAGAACCTTGAAGTTTTTGAAATGCTCCCTGAGCATTCGGATAATATAGGGTGATTCGGCAAACCCTCCAACAAACAGTATGGAATCTATATTGCCCCCATATTTCAGTATGTTTTCAATACAGGTTTTAATCCCCTGTAAAGAAAATTCGAAGAAGGACTTAAAAAGTTTCCATTTCATGCACAATTTATCTTTCTTTACTTCAACTTCTCCTTCATAGCCGAGGGATTTTATCTTTTCGTGGATGTCATGTTTCATCAATGTTTTGTATTCCTCAACGAATGAAACAGGAATTCTCAAAACAACCTTTTCTTGATCTTCTGATTTGGTTGTTGCTCTCTTTTTGATTTCAAAATCAGTAAGAAATTCCACCCAGTCTGAGGGGTATTTTTGTTTGACCATTTCCAAAACATTGTTTCCGAATAATTCTTCAATAAATTTTATAAATCTGTTATTGACCTGGTTTCCACCGTAGTCCCCACCGCTAGCTTTGTGAAGTTCGAGGAGGCCTCCTCCTTCAAGGACTTGATGAAGAGTTATGTCTACCGTACCACCTATACAGCAAAAACATTTTACTAGTATATAATTTAAATGTGCAACGTCGAGTCTCAAAAAGTACCTGAATAAATGCAGGTAAATTCCAAAAAAATAAATGCATTTTTCATTTATCTTACCTATGTATTTATTTGAGTTGCCATTATGTAAAGAACATAAATGCACAACATGTTCATTTTCTGCCATCAACATTAAAAATCGAAGTATTGAAAGAACTGAAAGTCGGGCTTTAATTACTCTATTATATTGTCTGATCCTAAATTACTATATATTTATTTTTTTCGTTTTGGCCATTGATTTTTAACAGATAGAGTTTGTATGATTATGATCTAAACCAATATCCCATATACCAGTAATTAAAAGTGACAGTCCAGACAATAATTAAGATGTGTGATGATTTTAAATAAGATTTTATAAAAAGTCCGCGCTATTGAAAATAGCAAATTGATATATCACGATGATCCCAATAAAGCTAATATCTAATTTCTCCTTCAGTTTAATTCTCAAACAAAAATATTGATCATTAACTTTTCCAACGATTAGGTTGTTAAAAATTTTGTTTGAATGTCGTCTCACAATGGGACTATTTTGTTTATCGAGAGCGTCTGCTTTGATGCTGTTTGGTTTATTGTTTACTGTGCTATTTATAGTAAGACAGTCGATCATGATGCCTACAGCCAGGACTTTGCTTTCAGCAGCCCTGCTAAAAATGATCAAAAAGCTTTCAAAAATATCGGACGATTAAACTGTATACCGGTATAATTTACCTCCCATATCTACGACAAGATAGGTAGACTTTTCTGGTATCGTATCAAAACATTTTGTTACACCTCCACTTCCATCATTCGATGAGACGTACACTTCAATTGTACGACATAACACGCTGGCTGCTTCCGGTTCTAGTGCTATTGCCATTTGATTGACCGGTATACCAGCCTATCAAATAGTTTTGGAAAATCGTTAATTATACAAATCAATGGAACAAATGCAGTTCTACAACTTCAAGACGTGTGTACACTTACATGTATTCATATGATAAGAGGTAAAATGAGAAATTAAGTGCATACTTTTGCAGCAGCTTCTCTCATGAAGTATTTAGCCTTCAGGCTCCATATGGCAGGTACGGTTATCACCCAAAATATATCACTCATCTCAAAAGACGATTCACCAAAACGGTTGTCAAAGTTTGAAATCAGATGATCGTAGAAAAATTTTATTACACTGGAGAAAACTGCTATTGCCGACAATGTTTTCCGACCCGTAACATCTGGAATTTTAGTTTCCAGTGATAGTTCCTGGAAAAAGAAATTAATTCAACTGGTAGAAAAAAAAAAAAAGATTCAAAACAAGATACTTTGCGAAAGTTGTTATTGTATAGTAAAAGGATAGATAAAACAAAAAGAAATTGACAGGGCTAACACAGATTTATATTATTCCCAAAGAAATATAAACAGAATATATCAATTAATCTAAATGCTTTGCAAATGTGGTTCTTCCTTACTCTTGTAAACTTTTATTGTCATTGAGGTTTTCTTTTTTATGATTCTGGGATATTCTTCATGCTTTTATTATCTGGTAAGAGATTGCAAGGACCTAAGATCATACCTCTGCTTGATACAAACACATTTTAAAATCTTGGAAGAAATAAAATTTGTCAAGATCCTCTTCATACGGATTTTCCTGCATGTATGCAATGGCATCATATCCAAACTTGAAGAAGGTCTTATCTGGTTTAAATAAGACTGTCGTAGGTGCTTTAGTTGTCATTGCTGTGCCAGATGACCATGTTGGTAGTTTTATTGTGGTATCTGACCTATTCAATGCGAATGCATAGCCACTGTATTTTGTACCGAAGTCAATGGCTGCCGTTACTGAGTATTTGCACAAACTTGGAATCTGAAATTTATAAAATCAAATAATTTTAATCCGATTCCTATTTTGATGATTTGGATAAATGTCAATACTCTCGTTTGAAAGAATGTCACTCACTTTCACATTTGTCTCTAAGATGTCATCATAAATTTCTTCTTGTTTCTACAAAGACGATAGCGTGCATAAAAATAAGTTCGAATTCACCAAGAATTTATAGGCGGATCAAATGCACACATTGCAGTACATTTAGGGTAAAGTAAGTATTAGTATAGTCTCACAGAGTTGGCATTATAAAGATAGATAGAGCAGTATGTTTTTAAATGCCTTGGGTACAAAATAAACCACTACAAAATGCTAGGAATAAAACACTATAGTGGCTTCAAAAAAGAGATGAAATCATAATACTTTTAATTTAAACTCGTCTTTACGTGTGTCTGATTATTCAAAGTCATTTCAAAGCACAATCACGCTGATTTGAATTAGATGGTATTTTTATCAATATTATCTGTTAAAGTTCATGTATATACTATATAGACTAGACCATTAAGACATAAAATTGAAAACAAATCTAATGCAGAGAACGCACTGTGCGTATGAAACATGCTTTTCATCCATGCTTGTATTCTAAATGTCTTTTAGATCTTCATATTAGATATATAACTATCAATACATTAATGAATGATTAATTAACATATGAGGTCTCTGATAAATATGGAGAGGACAAGAGAATCTTTATATAGCAAAACTGTATATCATGCGTAAGACATTGATTTTAATAAGATATTAAAGCATTCGTTTCGGTCCTCTACAAGAAAGGTTACTGGGTCCTAACTTACTTGGATTTCAGTATAAACATGTGAATTGGAAGCAGGAGACTGAAATAAAAGAGACTTCTACATTTCCTAAATACATTTCCTCTTCATATGCATGTACTTTTAAAGGTAAACTATAATACTGTAGACGTGCATTTTTCCAGATTGGTTTATTATGCAGTCAAACTTTTCCACAGAAATTTAACAGTGTGCTTAAAGTATGGCAATCCAAGAAATCAACGTTATTTTTGTACGATCGGTTTAAATCTAAATATCTAATTCCGCGAAATATTATAACTCCGTGAAAAATATTATCGAGGTGTAAACATGCATTAAATGTGTATTCTGATATTATCTTCAATTACATGTAATTATCCAAATCATGAGACCAAGAAGAAAAATGGAAATTCTCGATTTACCCTAAACTATAATGATGTTTCTCTCATATGTATACACTATATATGTTGTCTAAAAATATCTCCAAACAGGCTACATTACAAAGAGAGTGTTAAAGCTTAATCGCTTTAATTTGTTATTTGTTGTCTGTATAAAAAAAGAAATCGTTTGTCTTGACTGATCTACATTGCATATGTTTTAGAAAAATACTGACCAAAACCATAAAGATTTAGGGAGGATATTCAATTTTTACCGATAAGGGGTGTTCTTTAACTGGAATAAGATTCGGGATGAAAATGTAATTTCAATGGGCCTGCTTGTATATACAGTGATGCCGTAAAACAAAAAAAAATATTTTCAAGTTTGTGGGTTATTGACATTTTTGTTAAACATATGCTTATACTATGAAATACATGGATTTATTGAACAGTGTTCAATATCAAAATTCAATTAAAAATACAAAATTGGAGCAGAAAAAACACGGACCTCCAAAACATCAGTAGGATTAAGGTGCCTTGGAGGAGTGGGCATCCCCTGTCGGGCATGCAGTCACATCGGCCATGTGCTCCTTGTCATAATCGGTAAAGAAAGGAAAATTCCGTCGACAATTCAGTGCGTATAAATGTATAATGGCCAAACAATAAGTATGAAAAACATAAGTCAGCATTTCACTTAACTATAGATTGTATTTGCTGACAAGGTCATTGCATCGACCATAGAACTTACGAAATGATGACTTTAAACGAGACTGTTGATATTCTTGTTTCAAAAACTTGTTTGTAAATACCTTTTCGCTTTTAGAAATTGTTCTTACATAGAGTATGCTCTTGCGTAACGAATCAACTCAGATATATAAACCATGTATGCAGATGATATGGATATATTGCTGCATAAGAAAAAAAAAGTTGATGTTTAAAAAGTTAAAATCATCACGTTTAACATAAATGTTTTGTTGTTAGATAACCAATAACGTAATACGTAGCCTTTTCCCCACCACTTTTTTCACAATAATCGACTTTCAGGAGTGATTTTGTGCAACTCTTTAAATAAAGAGTGTCTCTTGTCCGTCACTTGATCAATGAAATCATCGGATTTTACAATATCTGCGTTAATTTTTTTTTTATTTTGTTATGGTGTGAGGGTAAGGATGCGTTGTGTGTGAGGGAAGGTATGTGAGAGGGTGTGTGTGTGGGTGTGTGTGTGTGTGTGAGGGTGTGTGTGAGGGTGTGTGCGTGCGTGAAGGGTATCAAACGGGGACATTTGTTTGTTTACACACCTTCCAACCGGGGACGACCTTCCAACCGGGGACGTCCCCGGTTGTCTTCGATTTGAAATAGCGCCAAATTCGAAATCAGGGATGTCTAATTACCCCAAAAAGCCGAAAAATTCCATTTTTTAACATGTTGAAAAAATGTCCCCGGTTAGTTAGGATTAAAAGATGTGTGTTAGTGTGAACTTTTCATCATTAGCGAAGGTTCGTACTTGGGGGTTACACACGTGTCCCCGGTAGTATAGTGAAAAACGTGTCACGTGACCTTTCCTGAAACAAACATTACCTTGAGATATATTCTTTTTCTTATTTTTAAGTCCGTATTTTTTTTAAATGTTAAAGTTACATATATTATTTTACGTTACTAGGGCATGATCATCAGCCAGTCTGACAAACATTCGTGTCATTGGAACATCTGGATTATAGATGTACGATTGACTTAGTATTTACGCATGTAAATTAAGTTTCTTAATGGAGCCTATAATTTTTTATAAGGAATGAAGGTTATTTAAACTTATGTTATTCGAATAATTCGATAATTCTAACATAACTTGGGGCAGTTTGCACGTTATAAACCACGCAATATTGCAGTTTGATGATTGACGATAAGCAGTCACGATACATTCAGCATAATTCATAGGCGTCGAAAGCAAATCAAACTGGGGGGGAGGGGGGCTAATATTAAAATGGGGCTAATCCCCAATAAAACCGTAAACCCTATTTTCAATGTCCACATAATGTATTTCTTCGCAAAAAAGTGGAGGACTACCCCTGAAATGATCAAGAATAATTCTTGAACTTTTAAGAAAAGTTCATGAATTATATTCTTGAATCAGCTCATGAATTATTCATGAAGATCCCATGAAGTTAAAATTGGACACTCATGATTTCATGGATTTTATTCATGAAACCAAGTTCAAGAATATTCAAGAACTATTTGTTGTTCATGAACAAACTTGGATTTTTTAAATGCCTGCAAAATGCTCAAGAATAATTCTTGAACTTTCAAGAAAAGTTCATGAATATATTCTTGAACTTTCAAGAAAAGTTCATGAATGATATTAATAGGTTCAATGCATTTTCATGAACTATTCATGAATAATTTGTAAAAGTTATTTAGGAATGTTCATGAACTATTCATGAATGTTCTTGCTTTTTGTAAACAAAAATGTAATAAGTTATGCAAATGAAAAACTGTAAAAGAAAATATTTTAATAGCATCTTGAAAGATTTCACAAAATTTTTGTTTTCCAATCATGGTAACAAATTAAAATCTTTGTTCAAGTAAACAACTCTGAAAAGTGATAACGATAATAAATAAATCATGTAGTTCATTCCTAGTAAAATTATGAAAAATTTCAATTCAAACGCGACTCTTTGCAGAATCCTTAACCTTACTTGGTCAAGAGGAAAGTGGGTTCCTTATTCAGCGTATTTCAAAGTTTATGCCTAAAATGGAATGATTTTTAATCCAAGTCTCACTATCTGGCAGAAAAGTGTGTACAGTAATTAGGGCATCAGCTAAAAGGGCTTTCAAGGATTTTGAGCAGAGGTGGTCAAATAAAAAAAAATCTTTTGGGCTTTCCCTGTGGAATTTTCAGAATTTCATCACTTGGATCCTTTGATCGATTACGATTCATATTTTCTTTCCTTTTTTTTGCTTTTCTTCAAGAGCCTGGATTTTTTATATTCTTTTTTTTTTTGGCAGCCAGAGTTTTTTAATCTTTTGATCTCAACTCATCAACATTATCTGTGAACTGCTTCTCTTTTCCCTACAAGAACAAAGATTTTCTGAAAATGCTCATAAATGTGAAAACTTAAGACTTAATTTTTTTTTTTTTTTTGCATTTTTGTTTCATTTAATTCTGCATCATAGGCACTGCCATATTTTAAAGCATTCCGAGCGGGAGTTTAGCCTGTTTCCCTTGCCCGCCATGTTCAAGATGTTATAGGTGAACAGGATGAATGTTTCAATCATTAATTATTAAATGTAACGTAATTTGGTTGAATTCTTACTCATAACAAAGTCTGACAAAATTTTCATTAAAAAGGACATAACTGAACTCTTACAAATAGACAGTAACATCTTGACAAATATCTCACAGATTCAGCGATTGCCTTTATTTTTTTGTAACTCACCACTAATATCTGCAGTCATGAAGTAAATTGATCCTCTGGATATTCTTTCTTCGTATTCTGTTATTTTCTTCAAAGGTTGACAAAGAATGACTAGATCTATGCTAATAATCCTCCCACTCTACCGATTCACTTTCCAACGTCTCGCGCGTTTCAAAGTTTGCGCCTTTTAAAAAGTGTCATGCAGAGCTAATTAAGAAATAGTTTCGAATTACCAAGATTTTTGTTAAACAAAAAATAACAAACACTATCTGAATGATTTTTCACTGAAATTATTTTTTTTAAAATTAATATAAGTTATATCATCTACTGAATTGGATTTTTTTTTACATTATACCTGTAGAGCCATAGTTTCGTATTCAAGTATGGACGCCTCCATATCAGAGGACAACGAATATCTCTTAGAACCACTCGCCCTCAAACTGAGTACCCTGAGCTATGAAAATGTATAGGAGAATAGACTACAAAATACGAATGTGGTTCATGTCATAGCTTCTTCACAACCATGCAGCCTGTCCTGTATCATTTACACACGATAGACAGAAAAATGTGACTTTATAACTGCATCAAAATATAAAGCTTTTCGACCCAAGAATGGTACGGTACAGTACGGACAAGAGATATAATTTTTTAGTTGTCAATAAATTTATGATACGTTTTTACGAAGATAATGAATTTTTCCCATACTGTAAGTCTGTTTCATTTTCTTACAACTTGTTAAAAGTTTGACAAATAGAGAAAATTCGGTCGAACAAAGTTGTATCGTGAAAATGAGATAATTTAAAGCACAATATTAATATAGTTGGCCAATTTAAATGATGAAGAAACATTAGTAATTCAATATGAGAAAAAAATGCTGTCAATATTGATGCAGTGTTTTTTAAATTACGATCATAATTTAATTACAATCTCCCTTCTAGAGAGTTCATAACAGAGATTTATTATCCTGAAGAATCTAAGTTATCAATTACATAGCGTAGAAAATAGTGATTTTAACCTCTTATGTTCCCCTACTCGGCTCTGATCCAGTATTTTCAAAATCAAAACAAAAGCATGTTTTTGATTAAATCAGGGGCTTGTTCAACAATTGCATCTGCATACAAAAGTTGTATTATGGGAGCAATGAGTGTTTTCTGGCGATCGTTTGTGACAATTATTTTTACATTTTTAGTCTTCATGAAAATTCATTACCTTGAACTATTAAGTTTTTTTCTTTAAACTGAAAATTACCAATATTCATATTTGTTCATCATTTGTTCAT